AGATAAATGTTAATGTCAATATACAAACAGATGAGTACTTACTTATGTATAACTTTACAAGGATGTTGAAGAAAATATTTTGAAAAATAGTAAAGGGAAAAAAATATTAATAACATGTTAAAACAGATTGACTTGAATAAAATGAGTACCTTGGTTAAAACCAGGGGTAATAAGCAGTTGAAGCATTGAACAGGTTGCCCCTGTTACCTTCCTTGTATACCATAGGCCCAAGAGATAGCAGACTACACTACATAACATCAACAGTACTATAATCATAAAGCTGCACTAGCAGCATAAAGGGAGACAAAGAAAAATATAAAGGGGAAGGTTCTTATATATAGGGTGATTCATTTAGAGGTACTTTTTTTGGTGGGGATTTGATTGGAAATCATGCATGAATACTGCCAAACTGACATTTCGCTTTTGTTCAGTATTGTTTGACATTTCAAGAATTAGCCCGGCACAGCACCTTGCAATTTGTTTCATGTGCTTAGAGTAATTTATGGTGTGCTTAGAGTACTTTACGATTAGTAAGTTTGAAATCCAGTTTTCATTATTGGAAAAGACGAGACCAAATAGACCACATTCAGCACATAGAGAAGAAAATATAGCGGCGGTAACGGATAGTGTACTTGAAAATAATAAAGAATAAATTCTTCGCTGTTCTCAACAGCTTGGCTTGTCATATGCAACAACTTGGCATATTTTATGTATGGATCTTGGTTTAAAAGCATATAAAATTCAATTAGTGGAAGAGCTGAAGCCAACCGCCTTCCTAGTTGTCACCATTTCAGTTGATTGGCTCTTGATAAGCTTTCAGAAGATCCACTGTTTTCGAAAAAAATTTTGTTTTCAGATGAGGCCCATTTTTGGCTTAATGGGTACATTAATAAACAAAATGCCCATATTTGGGGTGATGAACAACCCAAAGAGGTTCAAGAGTTGCCATTACACTCTGAAAAAATAACTGTTTGGTGTGGTTTATGCGCTGGTGGAATTGTTGGAAACAAAGGCCGGCCAGAATATTACTGTGAATGAAGACCATTATCATGCCATGATAACAGACTATTTGGTAAATGAAATTGAAGCTCGTGGTCTCAGTGACATTTGGTTCCAACAAGATGGCACCACTTGCCATACAGCCCAGCCTGTGAAAGCATGGCTTTACTGCGAAAACAATTCAGTGAACAAATTACTCCATGCTTTGGACCAGTGAATTGGTGACCTAGATCCTGTTACATCTCACTTCTAGACTCTTTCTTTTAGGACTACCTAAAGTCCAAAGTCTACATGAATAAAATAGATACAATTGAGGCATTGAAGGCCAATATTACTCAAGTCATTGGTGAAATACCAATTGAAATGCTGGAATAAGTCATTGAGAATTGGAACTTCAGAATGAACCAACTTAATCATAGTCTTGGCCAATATTTAAAAGAAATTATCTTTAAGAAGTATTTGTAAAGAATGGTTCTTTTGTATGACAATAAATATTTTCAAATAAAATTTATTTTTTTCATTGTTTCTTCTTGTTGAAAAAAGTACGTACCTCTAAATGAATCAGACTTTATAAGTACATTAATAAACATTTGAACTACCTAAAATATTAATACATTTAAAGTAGTTTATAGGGTAACAAATAAACAAGGAAGTTTTTTAATGAGAATCAGCTATACATGTGGGCTATCTACAGGCCTTGTAGGCTTTTAGCTGAATATTATCTTCATCCACTTCATCCATTCTACTTTCTAACTGGTTTCTCTTGTAGATCATCTGTAATCATATCTTGTTCTAGGCCTTCTTTTTCTTCATTTGAGGTCAGATTTCATCCATTCAATATCTTTCACCTCTCTTCCTTTCCATTCTTACTGAATGTTCTAACCTGTAGTCTTCCTGTTCTTACAGCTTTATACATTTCAGGTTCAGAGTTTCGTATAGTTCAATCTTTTTCCTTCTCTTGCATTCTAATTCACTTATCCCCCACCATTTATTATGTGCAGAATCTTCTGTCCCCATCTTCCCAGCTTATTTTGAGACATTGTATTCATAACCCATGTTTCAGGAACATACAGGAGAACCAGTTAATTATTAAATAATAATTTCAATGGCTACATACTACCTCGATTAACAGATTTTCTGGAAAATGGAACAGAAACAGATTTTTTTGTTCTCTAGTCAATTGCTTAGTCAATATGTAACAAAATTGCCAATATTCAACTATTGTTAAACTATGTTAAGTCTGATATATTCTTCAACCTGATGCAGAAACTGGTTGACTACTGTCCTGATTATTTTATTAGTGGCAAAAGAGGTGGTACCATTGGTGCTATAATCAGGGGTCGTATTTTTGAATGTGTTCGAATTTATTCGAATGCGATTAGTTCAAACGAAAAAAAATCGTGCACGAACGAAAAAGCGTATTTTCGAACGCAATTCGAAAGTTTAATTCGCATACGAGAATCCGTTAACCCAAATTCACCGGCAACGCCGCAAATTTGCACGAAATTAAGAAAAGAAGAGGTAGAGGTGACAGGCGACATTTATTTGACTGACAAGTTTATTTTACTTGTTGCAGCAGACTTGAAGTTTTTTAGTTTTTTGTAATTTGCCCAATTTTCTACACAGTGTTAACGTGTTTTGGCTTGTGTTTTCGTACTTATCTGTTTTCTCTGTTTCCAATATGGACAAAGAAAATAAAAATTCCATGTTCGGAGGATTTGTATCTTCCGAACAAAAAAAAAAGAACTGATAGATTTTATGGAAGAAAATAGATTAGAAAACCTGCAAAAAATTATTGTAGGTAAACAATTTGATTACTCTCTATGTAAAGTACTTGGCCCGGATGCTTATTCTTAAGGAACAAAGCGGAGGGTGTTTTGGGAAACTTTCTCACAGTATACCTATGTCGAATTAAAAATATTTGTTATACTTACCTTTCTCGGTATGCTCAATGCAGATGCCCCAGATGGAGGTACCAAGTGGGGCTCCTTGAGTTCTATTAGTTCCTCTGCCAGAGGCTTTGTTAAACGGTATAATTTTACAAATTGTTTGTTTGATAAGGCTTCAAGAGGGTTTAAAAATGCATGGTATACTTTATCCTCCACATTCGCTAACATTTCTGAACTTTCTAAGGCATTTAAAACATTTCTTTCAATTAAAAAATTTAGGCCGGCCATCTCACTTATGTGAACAATTAAAAACCAAACTAAATACAAAAGTCAGAAATGTCAAACTCCGTGTGTTTACCGCTATTCGAATGGTGAATACCCACTCGAGCAGTCGTGTACGAAAATCGTCGTATACGATGCGTTCGAAATCAACTCGAAAATACGAATCATCGATTTTCGTTCGAAATTCATCATCTTTCGCATACGACTTCCGTTCGAACGGTTTCGAAAATACGGGCACAGATAAGGAATTGATTTGTTTATAATCACAAGTGGAAGGTTGTTTCTAAATTTGTAATTAGAATTTAATAATCTTGTTATGTTGGAAAATGTCAATGATGTATTGGGTGTCATATACAGATCACTTGATTATGATTGTGATAAACTCATCATTAACTTATATAAAAATGTGAATATACTCAGTTCGCTATTTCCAGTCCGAAATGTCTAGTGAATTACTGTACAACTAAGCACACATACTCATAGCCAATATTAATAGTAAACAAACTAAACAGTAAATAAAATAGAACTTGCAAATTACTGACAATCAATATTTATTTGACTGCACCATATAATAAATAGTTATGTTAAATTATAACAACTAAAATATATTTTTTAAATATATACTTCCCAAAATTTGATTGGTTTAGTATACACTTCCACTATTTAGAATAATTCTTCTTTTTTCAAAGAAAGAAGTCTGCAATAGTAGTATACTTGAGCTATTAATACTGAGAAGTAGGAATTGTTGTGTTGTAGGTTTCCAACAATGAATCTGTCAAAATATGCCAGAGCTAAGCGAATGGAGTATACCATAAATAAGATGTTATAATGGTCAGACTATAAAATATGAGATGATTTTAATACTGACCAATTACACAACAACCAGATCAAATAAACCCTAGAAAATATATAAACATCCAGTGGTTACCTATTTCAGCAGGAACAGTAAACTGGAATACTTCCAATTTCTTGTTATCGAATTAATTCTACACTTAGTAACAATGAACAATCTAATTGAACTATTTTGGATAGTATTATAAGTACAAACAAGATCACATATTGCAATTCTATAAACTTTAATATGTAACCCACAAAAATTCCAGAAGAAACAATGCAGATAGACTATAAAATGAATTTATTATTATTACTTTATATTTATTATTATTATCAACTGAATATTGGGGAACACAAAGTCCCTCCTGTTATTGTTATTACCTTAATTACAGCTCTCTAATAGTACTTATTTATTTAGTTCAATTGCATAAAGCATACCACGAATTGCTCAGAATAATAGCTGTAGCAATAAGAAATTAATTAATTTTTTAATTAATTAATTAATTTAAGTAATTAGAAATTATTTTGGCAAAGCAACTTGTTTGATGTAAGCTGATGTATATATTATACAATTTTCAGATTAAATTGGTTTCTGTAATCCAAATGTTAAAACTACATTTGCTACAAAAAACATTTTCATTGCATAAAAAAATAATTATAAACTTGGGAAAATGAAATTAATGTTTAAAAAACATTTTATATACTTAAGAACAATGAAAGAGTACTTATTTTTATGAAATTTTATAAAAAGTTTTTAATGATATGTTCAATCAAAATATAAACAAAAAACCTAAGTACATGTCAGATTACTAGATAATTAATAATGATTTTGGAAAGCATATTTGATTATTATTAATATTCCAAAAATAGTTTTTGAATATATTTTAATATCAATAAAAAACACTTTCACAAGGTAAGTTCTTTGTTTGTATACTATGTGATTATCCTTAATGAGTGAAGAGTCTAATTTGGGTTCATTAGCAAACAATAACTTACCTTGAAACAGCCACCCATGTAGAGGGTGTCAGGGGGACCAAAAATAGCAACTTCCCATTCGAAAAGATTATCTTCATTAACAAGTTTTACACAAAAGCCTTCAACTGGTTCTTCTAACAAACTTTTGTATTCAACATTTAAAGCCCTTAGAGCACTACTAGTTGCTTTGTTTGCCATGTCTATTCACAAAGCACTAATGTCCCGTTTTTAAGTCAGATTTATTTTCACTACACAACGTACACAGTCTTTTATTCAACTTTACTTATCGAGACGCCATTCCAACAAAACTCCTTGAAAACGTTAAGCTGTCAACCCCAGACTAATTCGTAAAATAAACTTGAGAATATTCAAGGAAAAGCAATAGATATTTATGTCTACTAAATTTTAAACGCTGCAGATTTAATATTTTATTAATTATATTGCGAAACTTTACAAATTAATAAAAGGTCGTAATGTTTTCTAAAATTATTATGACAGACCTACAGACAGGAACAAAACTACAAAACAGCTGGTCGATTAAAGCCTGCGCGTAACTGCTCGGCTGAGCACTATTTTTATCATCAAACAGCAGACAAGAGACACAGACACTATGAAAAAATTCTAATGAGTTGACATATACATAAAAAAATAAGAGAGAATATTATTCCACAAAACATCAACATTGAAAAAGATCAGAGATATATTTCATCAAATATGTGACAAAGATATGCATAATTACACTCAGAGAATAATAAATTTTAAGGTGATTTTAATATATTTTACACAGAACACCTTTAAGAACGAAGACGCACCAAGTTTTTTGTCTGTTTATGGAAGCAAGGGCCGCTTATTTTAATAAAAACAAATCAGTTCATGACCATTGTTTTAATCGGTAACAAATATTTTGTCGTTAAAAGTTGAAAATGAATAAACTATATAGGTAAAAACTGCGTGATTTTAGTTTATGTTGCGCTTGAGTAATTGGTAATTATTTAAGACTTTTGTATATTTACAAATATTATAAAAAAAATCAGAATATAGAAGATAATTTATTCGCATACCAGATCGCTTATTATGCCCTTTTTTTTTTGATAGGCTAAGGACCTTTATTATTATAAGTTATAAAAGGTTTAGTAAGATGATCGCTTCCACTGCGCATTTGCGTATTTTAAGCTCTTCCTTGCGGTTTTATAATCTAGGGGATATCCCTTTCACGGAGAAGTTGATGAAATAAATATCATTAAAAAATATAAAAGTATGAATATGATCAAATTATTTTCTACTCCATTTTTTATTTGGAATTGGAATATACAAAATAGAATTAATTGAGTACATATGCACAATATGTAACTGTCACTTGCATATTTTATTCTTGTAGTATTTAAATAAAGTCCATCTTCGATTTCAATATACATATAGGTGTCAGTGTTTTCTGTCTACAATTACGGATTATCGGATATATAGTCACTACCGATAATCCATGTAAATGTATTGTTTTAACATACACATCCACATCCAAATACAACACGACACACGTCATCACACAGCGTGTCCATATAAACTACTGTCATTTGTGTTGCGGTTTTGAACAACTAGCGGTGGTCCAGTTGTTTGAAAATAGTAAATTTTTTACTTTAATATATAGATTGATAGTTTTTGTAAAATTAAATATAATTCAAAAATGTCTGGACAATGGGAAGTAGTAACTAAAAAACGAGATAAGGGAAGTAAACTACCAGTACCAAAAGTTAATAATCCAAAGGAAATAAAAAATAATAAAAACATTCTCAATGGTGTAAAAATAGAAGAAGTTTGTAAGTACCTTGAGAATTAATAAATTAATGTAATAAAACATTTTAATTATTGTAGTACCAAAAGCTCAAGTACAAAGCTTGTATGGTAAATCGAAAGAAAATAAGGTTCAAGACAAAAATAAACCTAAGGAGAGTGTGAAAAAAGCAGCTGTTAAGAAAGATAAACCTGTGGAACCACCTAAGCCTAAACCACCAAAGTCCATTGAAAGTGCTCTTAATTCTGTAAGTCTTTTATAGATATATTTTAATTTTACCTCTTTATTAAAACAATAATGTGTCAAAAATTAAGTGAAACAACTGTTTTACAAAAATCCTATTACAGTTAAAGGGAATATTGTTTATTTATTAAATGTGCTTAAATTAAAATAAACAGAATGTTTTAATTTAAATTTATTATGCTTTTGTAACTGGTTTATTATATCTTTTGTCTGTATATTTATGAAGAAGGGGAAATGGGGGTGTAAAAAGAGGTAAGATCAAGTGCCAGAGACTTTTATGTATTGCATAAGAAAAGAAGTAGAAGAAAATTTGTCCAGAAAAATGGATTTGGAAATCCAGTTCATTTTTTTTTTTTTCATTTCAGTAAGTTCATTTCTTCATGTTATTTTCTGTTTTTTTATATAAGATTTTATATCATATATCCACTCCATTTTCATGTAATACTATCATAAAACAGGTGTCACACTATTATTCATAGACAATGTATGTATTTCAACTCAAAATTGTTACATATTTAGAGAAGTACCTTATTAATACTTGACACAGAAAAAGGAAAATATCTCAAAAACAACAGCCCAGACAGGATCTGTCTAGCTTTGATTTGATTGTAGTGAGTCAGAATTTAGGTTTTTGTTAAATTGGCTCTGGGAAGGTTATTTATGAGTAGAATTTGAATAATATGCTGTAGCTAAAGAAGTATTGAAAACTTCAGGAAACATTTTAGAACAAAAAATTGGTATTACTGATAACTTTTTTCAACCATTTGACTCAAATGTCTTGGAAAGCATCATATTTATGACAAAAATGAATAGGTATATAAAAAATTAATAACAATTTTGCAATTGAAAATATTGCAATAGAAAATTCTAAAATTGTTAAAACCTTGCTTTGTGCAAAATTCTGTGTTAATAAAATTTATGATTTTTTTATATAGAAGAGCAAACAAGCTTTCCAATCCACTTTAAAAAATTAAAATAGGTAAGATGAGCCTGATGAATTATTTGATCCTTTATTGCATTATGTGCCATAAATGGCACAAACTAAACTAAATTATTTTAAATATTTTAACTCAAATTTTATTGTAACTGAAAAAATATTTTTTAAACAAGAAAATACACTTCAAATTTTATATATATAAGAAGAGGAAATAAATTTTATATGAACCTTTTGAATACCAAACTGGCAATAGCCTATGTTATATGCAAAGCAGGAAAACTACCTAAATAGAACAGATTAGGAAGATAAGAAATCAACTAGTAGCCTTCAGTAGATATACAAGTATAAATAAAAAAGGGACCCACTAAAGAAATATTCCAAGAAAAAATCTGTAAAGATAGGTTTGACCATTTTCCCAACTGGAATTAGAGAACCAGGTCAAGATACAAATTAGTATAGGTAGGCAAAAAACATATAATTTGCACAAAATGCAGTGTTTTAATAAAGAAAAAAACTGGTATTTTCTGTTTAATACAGTAACTAGTCAATGTAATTTTTATTACAATTAATTGTATTCAATTCCATATGGAATTAATTCCATATAAATCTATTCAAAAAGTTATCAATAATTCAAAGAAAAAAGTTAAATTATTTTGTTTTACATTAAAACGCTGCTTCATTGATTTTGTGAATTTTTTATTATAAAAAAACTAATATTGTAGTTCTATTATCAGTTATACACTAAATCGTAAATTAAAAATAAACTAATTTTATCTCTCTTTAAACCTAGACTAAAAAATTGACATTTTTATAATTTTTTGTTAATTCTTTTTTATATAATTTTTAGAAGTCTGAAAAAATAATTTTTATAACAGTAATTGTTTTAAATTATAAATATTTTGGTTATAAAAAAATCTGATATTAGCTGATAAAACAAAATGTACGACAACATTAAAGACACCTTTAAGATGTAAACTCGATGTGAATGGATCCATTATTCTGAAAGAGATAAAGAGAATATTTGTGCATATAGCTATCAGGTTATGGCAACAATATGGTACGATCTTATGGTTGGAGCGAGGGTCGGTGCCTTGTTGTGATCACCCACTAAGAGAACAAACAATGAGATTAACCAAAATAGCTGGCTGTATAAATAGTACATTGTGATGTAATAAAAGCATTGAGGCTAAATCAAGAATATAAAAAGCTGGTATAAGGCCTATAGTGACATACACTGCAGAGACCAGAGCAGAAATAACAAACACCAAAACATTGCTTGAAGCAGCAGAAATGAGGATACTTCGTGGCATAGCTGAAACAAGTGAAAAGATAAGGAATTTATATGAGATATATGATATTAACAGTTGGCTGCTAAACAGGAAAAAAGAGTTTAATGACCATATTAGCAGATGGAAGAAAGAAGAAATAAATCACCAACAGTACAGAGAAGCATAGGCCGAACCAGAAAAAGTTGGAGTGACAATCTCAACATTAGTGCAGGTGGATGAAGTTTAAACAGACATTTCACCTAGAATAAAGAAGGAAGAAGAAAAAAAAGAACAACCTTTGTAGTCCCTTAAAAATAAAAAAATCAGTTTTGCAACAAATCATTTTCCATGAAAAAAGAAAATTTTATTATTTTACAAATAGAGCTGTATTTAAAAATTATTATGTAAAAACAAAAAATATGTATCACATTTTTCTTTTCGGCATTTTATAGAAAATAACTTTAAAATTCTCAGACCAAATTTTCACATAGATATGGTACTTTCACATTGAAAATAAGGTCTGTAACATCAATTTAGATTTTTCATTCTTATTGAAACCAAAGTAAGATGAAACTGTTAACCAAATTACCAATGGCGGAGAGAAATAAATCATTTATATCGCAATTGAATTATAAATATGTACAAATAATAATAGATTTGTACTCCAAAATGCAAGGTAGGAAAAAAAGAAAAACTAACAGACTAGTTGACAAAAACGCTTGTAATCTTGGATCAAAATTGTGGAAGGCCTTTTTAGTAAATAAAATGCACTCTTTTTTTGTTTGTTAAAATTAAGGGAAATTTTTTTTAAGACTACTTATCTATCGAATCATGATAGTCTATACTCTTCCAGATTTTCCCGTATTTAAATGGCCTTTTCTGATGCTATTTATATTGTTATCTTGCCATGTATGTTTACACAACCCTCTCAAAAATATTAAAGTTTCATCCAAAAAACGAACTGAAGTCAGCTTAGACTTAAATAATATTTCAGAAAGTGCCTCAAAAAGTAAAACCATTTAAGAGTAATATTTGGCTTCGCGTAAAGCATTCCCATACTATTTTAAAGATTGTACAAAATTCAGCAGAATTATTATAAATTAAATAGCCAGTGATTACACGATATGTGTCTGCCTTCTCCAGCCCCTCACTCCAATCTCCCTCAGATCTTCCTGTACATCGTCCAGATATCTGAGTTTAGGTCGCCCCCTTCTTCTTCTTCCGACCGGCCTGTTTAGCATAGTTACTTTAGTGGGATCACTCTCATCCATCTGCATAACGTGGCCCACCCACCTTAGGCGGTTTATTTTGATGGTCTTCACAATATCTGCATCACCAAAAAGACTATAGAATTCAAAGTTATATCGCCTTCTCCACAGACCCTGTTCGTTTACTCCGCCATATATGGTCCTCAATACTTTTCTTTCAAAGACTCGTAGTAACTCTTCATCTCGGTCGTCATTGCCTATGTTTCCGATCCGTATGTGAGCACTGGGCGTATTATTGTTTTATAAAGTTTGCACTTTGTTGCTATTGACATACTTCTCGCTCTTAGTTGAGGGCCCAGGCTAAAATAACAGCGGTTAGTCACGCATATTCTTTTTCTTTATCTCGTTGGATGCTTTATTTTTGTAGTCTACCAGTGATCCTAAGTAGCAGAATTCTTCTACCATTTCTATCGTTTCGTGTTTCACCTCTAAGTTATTTTGTTGAATTCTTGATATGGCCGGCATATATTTAGTTTTCTGGATGTTAATCAGAAGTCCGATGTTTTCTGCGGCATTTTTGATACGTGTGAAAGCCTCCACTGCTTCATTTTGGGTTCTTCCAATTATGACGATATCATCAGCGTATGCCATTATTTGTATACTACGGGTATATATCGTACCTTTTAAGTTTATTCCCGAATCTCTCATAACTTTTTCTAACGCTAGGTTGAACAGCGTGCACGATAGCGCATCTCCCTGGCGCAGTCCTCTGTTGGTTTTAAATGGTATTGAAACATCCCCTTGTACGCGCACTTTAAATTCGACTTTCATCATTGTCATTTTAATTAATTCTACCAAACCTTTTGGAATTCCTAATTCGATCATCTCCGAATATAATTGGGACCTGTCAATAGTATCGTACGCTGCCTTAAAGTCTACGAAGATGTAATGACAGTCTATGTCGTACTCCGTCGTTTTTTCTAATATTTGTCTGATGGATGATACGTGATCAATGGTAGATTTGTTTTTCAAGAAGCCTCTTTGGTAGGATTCTATTATATTGTCAGTATACCAGTGCCAGTCGTTCGTTAAGTATCAGGGACACAATTTTGTATGCTGTATTAAGAAGTGAAATCCCTCTAAAGTTGGAACATTCAAGAACGTTTCCTTTTTTGTGTATGGGGCATATAATTCCAGTATTCCAATCTTCTGGTAAGGCGCGTTCTTGCCATACCTGTATTAGTAGTTTGTGAAGGAAGGTTACAAATGTTTGACCGCCACATTTAAATATTTCTGTGGGTAGGTTGTCTGCTCCGGGTGACTTGTTTCTGGCTAGAGACTGAAATGCTTTGTTTATTTCTTCCAAAGTTGGTAGTTCAATATCCTCCTGTTCTATTTCTATATCATATCTACCTTCAGCTCTACTTTCTCCTTTAAGTAGCGTACTAAAATGGTCTTGCCATCTTTCTAGTACATCCACTCTCTCGTTTAAAAGAATTTCGTTAAGGGCCTTGACTTGGTTCGCTTGTGGCTTGAAAACTTTTCTTTTTGTGTTAACCTGTTTGTAAAATGTTCTGCATTCGTGTTCTCT